GACATGGACGCCAGAGGTGACGCGACGAATGCTCTGCCAGGGAAAACCGGCTCTCACAACAGAGGGGCTGGGTCTTATCCCGTGTCCTGCTCACTTATTGAGACCCTCTTTTTTTTTTTTTTTTTGGCTGTACTTAGTACAGTGAAGAAACCCCGCAAGGAACAGGGCATCAGTTCTGCAGTAGCAGAGCTCCTATTTAGTGTGTGCGGGGCAATAGGTAGGACAAGTACAGAAATCAGTGTAATAGAGGAAACTGTGATGAGGCTCACAAGAGGGGCACTGTATAGGTTTGTGTGCATTTAAAGTTAGAAAGATGACGCTACTTTGGGATAATAGCATTTAAACTGGAAACCTGCTGGACCATTGGTATTTTTAAAACTCTCTATTTTACAGTAAAAGGAGAAAGCTTTTGTTATAAAATAGATAAGAACAAAGGGAAGTAAAAAGCACTTGGCAATCCTGGCACTAGGAAACATTCAAGATGAATATTTGAATGCATGTATTACTTTGGTTTTGTTGTCACAGAAGTGAAACTCCACTTTAGGTAACATTTGTAGCGTACTCTAACTGTATGACATGACATTTCCCAAATGTTACTGATTTTTAAATGTGCTATTTTATGGGGAATATTTCGCTGTGTAAAACGAAGCACCAAGTTCCCCAAACAGCCTGTGCCAGGCATTATTGGTTGTTCTGAGAAAATATATTTCTGTACTAATTCATGTTAGACTAATTTTTAGACACCTGCGACCTTGGAATAAGGCTCGGAATGAGACTTTGACTTTGCAGAGCTTAGAGAATAGGAGAAGAGGGAGACATTAATTATATAATCATAAAATAACTGTAAAATTTCCTGTGGGATGAGGGTTATGGGAGAGAAATGTGTGGGGCTATGAAGGTGTGTATTTGAATGGAGAGAAGTAGTCCAGAGATCTGAGAAGCCCTTCTGAGGGAGGGAGTGATGGGTCTCAGCTCAGTGGGAGTTAACTAAGTGGAGAAGATCGAAAAGAACCTTGCCAGCAAAGAGAACAGTGTGTGCAAATCCCCTTCAGTTGAAGAGGGCAAGGTGATAGCAACTGAAATAAGGTTGAAATAAGGAGAATTGAGTGGAATGACTTGGCCTGAGGTGAGTTTGAAAGAGTGGGTGAATTCTGACCTTCCAGAACCTTTTAGATGAGATTAATACTTTCTAGTATTTCTCATAGAGCCATGGAAAATTGCTAAAGAGTTTTAAGTAGGTGGTGGGGAAGATCAAATTTTTTTTTCCAAAGAACCCCCTCACTGTCATAGAGTGAAGAGATCGAAAGCGAGCAAGAGTAGATGTAGGTAAACCAGGTCTAGAATCCCGGGTGGGGTGAGAGGCTGATTTCAAAAGCCCAGGAGGAGGTAATGGAAGTCTAGGCAGAAGAGTGATGGGGATGGAGAGAAATGGGTGGTTTTGAGATATTTTGAGAATAAAATGTTTAGGCATTGGCATGGATGGTGAGGGAATATTATGAATAGAGGACGACTCCTCAGTCTGTACATAACAAGATGGGGCATAGTCCCCAACACCAAGACACTGACGATTAGGAAGGGACAGTGAAGAGTTTTGCTCTGGGGAGAAAGATGCTAGCGAGAACAATTCCTTCAATGGTATGTATCATCACATCCCCTTTCCACAGGTGGGTTTAACCACATTCACACACCACGCTAAAGGGGCCTCTTTCTGGAAATGGTGATACTGAGGAGAAAGTAAGTGCTGTTCCTACATTTGCTGTTCCATTGTCTGCTTCAGGTGTAAGACCCTGGACAGATCACTTTGAGGGTCTGTGGTCTTTAGTTTCCTAGTCCTTAAAATGAGAGTAGTAGCATCTAGTATAAAGGATTATGGTGAGAATTAAATGGGAGCCCTGATATTTAAGGACTTGGTAAACCTTCACAAGCTCTGCAAACTCAATATATTATAGTTAATCCTCTTTCTATATTTGTTGTTATTATTGCCCTCTAAACTTCAAGTATTAATATCAGCAATATGTAATTCAATATTTTCCCCATGAGTTCCTTAGGGGAAAAAAGGTGTGATTGAAATCTAAATAAATATACCACCCAGGAGCTGGAGATGGTGGCCCCAAACTATTTATAAGCCTATGTGTTTACTTGAATTCAGACATTCCCGACATGTAAATTATGCAGAGTCTGTGTCACAGCAGAACACTCTGTGTTCCTAAAAAGAAGTCTCCTTTTTTCCCGGAATCCTTTACCTTTTAAAATAAATCTCATTATGGAGTGCTGACATTTTCAGTGAAACCATTCAACCAAAAGCTGCAGCTCTTTAAAGACTAAAAACAAGTCTGGTTTATTAGGCAGCCGCTCATAATGTACTGCTAAGTAGATACGATCTATTTAGAGAAGTTTATGTAGATATCTGATAAGACATTTTAGAGTCCCCGTCTCTTCCTAAGATTGAGAATGTTAAGCAGGCTATCAAGAATTCGTTCTTTCTCTCCACAGAGTAGGAGTTGAATATCACTGTGTGTTAGAGTGGGTGGAAACCACAGAACAAAGATTTAAGCCAGATTTGCTGGATTCTAGGGTTATTTCTTTCCACTGTACGCTAGCTATAGTATCATTTCCTAGCTGCGTGACTTTGGATGTAGCCTTCTTCAAAGGGTTGTGGGTAGCTGTAGAGTTAACGTTTAAAACATGCAATGGCTGGCATACACTAAGGTGTTTATCAAAAATTTCATTCTTTTCTTATCTTCTTCTGCTTTTTCTTTTCCTTCCTCATTTGTGTTTTTCAGCTGCTCATGTTTCCTCCTATTTTTCCACCCTACATTCACCTCGTGTGTCTCTCTTTACACTACTGTATTAGTCAGCATTTTGTTGCTGTGACAAAAATACTTAAGACACACAGTTGAAAAGAGGAAGCTTTTATTTGGCTCTTGGTTGCAGACATTTCAGTCCATGGTCAGCTGGCTCCAAGGTCGAATATCATGGAAGAAAAGTGTGTGGTAGAACAATCCTGCTTACTTCATGGCAGCTAGGAAGCAAAGCATGGAGGCAGAGCTCTGGGAGAGACATGTCTTCCAAAGACATCATGCCAGCAACCCATGTCCAGCAGGGCCTCTCCTGCTCACTCCACATTTGACTGGGAACATCCACTGATGTGTACACCACTTCCATGATCCAGTCACCACTCAAAGGCTCTCTTAATTCAGTCAAGTTGACAGTTAAGTGTAACTGGAACAACTACACAGAAGAGTGGAGTATACTTGAGTTACCCAAAGTGATTTAGTGACCTAGGCCCCTACCAGTAACAACCACAGCTAATTTTAGAGCCCTGAGAATTATTTCCCTTAATCATCTCCCCAAACTGATGAGGTAAATACTAACATTGGCTCCATTGTACAAATAAATAACTTGATCCATAAAACGTTAGGGGTCCAATCTGTAGAGTTAATAAATGACAGAGCAGGAAGTTCCAACCCACTCTATCACACCACCCAAGATCTGCCAAAGTGATTACAATTGGCATTTATTTATTCATTCACCCAGCTGATATTCATTTAGTACAGGTTGCTGGACAGGAACTGCATAGAAGGAATATCCCTGCTGATGTGATCTCTTCCCTCATGGAACTGACACCCATGCACACACACTCTTACACACAGTGTAGACAACCCATCCTTACTGGATTGGCCCCACTCTGTGCTGAAGTGTCCATTCTAGTTGGCCAGTGTTCAGTGTGTTCTGTAAACATTTTATATATCATCCCTTCCTACAAATGGTGATAAACGCATGGCGCAAAGGAAGAAGGACCCCAATGCTCTCAGAAATATTATGAGGGGCCAACTTTATAGAGGAGTATAAGAAACCCTTGTTGAATGAGGCATTTGAACCACAACGTCAACACTGGGTCTTCTCAGCCTGCTGTGAGATGACCCAGGGCAGGAGCCAAACCACACGCAGGCCTGCAGTTTGTGTTGAGGACGTTGGGGCTGATCTTAAGTCAAGGAGGTGCTGTGTAACAGAGTGAACAAGGGAGCAACGTCATCCAGCTTCTATTTTAAGAAGTACATGGTGGTTACTGTGTGGAGAATGCTTGGAAGCAGGGTGCCCACATAACTTACTCTTCAGATGATTCTGTGTGGTGAGAATTCAGAGAAGAATTGCTCACAAATTAACCTTTTCAATTTTTTTTTAGTAAAACCATATACTGAGACAGCTCTAATAAACCACAAATTGCTATATCCTAAAGGCTATTGTAGAAAGCAAAAATACTGTGCACCAGGGAGCTATAGAATAGGCCTGGCTACTTTCAATCAAAAACTATTGTTCTCGTTCTTTTTGTTTGCACTCAGAGGAATTCTTAACTCTTAGTCAAAATTTTCCACTTGTGTCCTAAAAAGCTCTCACTCCTGATCGCAAATCAAATCTGTAAACACTTATCTAACAGCTATTCTGTCTCTGGGTTGGAAGAATCCCACTTGACTTGTGTGCCTCTGCTTCTCCCAGGAGGTTAGGGTAGGATGAGCAGTACATGGTGCTGGCTTGTATTTAAGCCTTCTTTTTATCCAGTTAGGAATGCAGCTTTTGGCGATTAGCATGAGGTAGTGCTTAGTGAGGAAATTTTGTAGTATAGTACAGATTGAGTTAGAACAAAGTTATTTTTGGTATCCTTGGAAAAAGATGTGCTCCACAAAGGTCTCTGGGTAGCAGGGAGAAGTTTAAAGCAGTTCAGCGTCAATGCACTGCCAGCCTGGAATGCCTCTGATGGATTTCGTCATGGATAATCTCTGAGCTCTATGTTGGTAAAACATTTCCTTGACATTTTGCACATTCCCTCTCTGTTAGTGATGGGGACAGCCTGAGGGATGGGTAATGTTAGGTGTCTCTCAGTTCCTCTTTCTTCTGAGGTTATTGAACTTCAGTCTTCTTCTTAGATGGTTCATTGAATGGCTATCTTTAATTTGAAAAGTCTATGCCATCAACTTCCCCTCCGTTGATGATTCCTCCAGGATAGACCACTGGAACAATGAGAAGGAGAGAATTTTGCTGGTTACAGACAAGACTCTGTTCATCTGCAAGTACGATTTCATCATGCTCAGCTGTGTGCAGCGGCAGCAGATTCCCCTGAGTGCCATCCATCGTATCTGCCTCGGCAAGTTTGCCTTCCCGAAGATGTCACTGGACAAGTGAGTACCCTGTTTTAACATGGAGAAGAGGCAGCAGGGGTGCGACAGGCTGAAAGTCAGTAACATCAGTTCATCATTGCAAGCTGGGAGAGTGCAGAGCAACAGGTAGGTTCTATGGTTGAATTTATCGAGCAATTGAGTTTCTACTCTGTGTCAGGCATCAAAGATACAACTGTAAGGAAATTAGTGCCTTAATATGTGAAACTGACAATAAACGTAAAGTGGGAAGAGATGTGAACACAAGCAGAAAAGCTCTTGAGACTTCATGTGGCACATAGTAAGAGAAGTTTTCCTGGAGTACACTTGAGCCAATATTTGTTGTTGGGTAGGAGGTCCCATGGAAGGAGAAAAAATTAAGTAATGGTGCAAGCAAAAGATATAGTACATCCAAAGAGTAGAGGTGGGACAACATGTAAGCCCTTTAGGACTTACAATTATTTTATAAAGCCAAGTGGGTAGAACTCAACATGGCTAGCTACTTGTTATGTAAGTCTCTTTGGAATCCTCCCCGAAGGCTTAGTGGGAGTGAAGATTTATCATCTTAGAAAAGATGACAGTTATCCTGGAACTGTGTGGGGTCCACAGATGAGGATTGTTGAACTATGATGGCTTTGGAAAGAACTGAATTTCCTAAATATTTTAGATCTAAGTCATAAGGATAACCATGTACCTCTAAGGCTGAATGTGATCACCTCTCCTTCAAGTCCAAGCTACTTGAAGGCAAGTGCCATGTTGGTTTTACGTTAAGTACTTGGCATTGGGCCTGGTGCATAGTAAATTTTGAGGAATCCTTTTTTGGAAATTTTATTTTTAATGATAAAAGATCCAAAATATATTAATAAACACACAGACATAAACAAAACAACATAGGAATAATAAAAACAATACAGAATTTCAGACAAGGTGAAAAGAAACAAGCAATGGTTGTTGTATCACATACTGTTATCTTCCTATTGGTTGCTCAGAGAAATAAATATAGACATGTAAGAATGATCAAACAGTTAAATATCAACTGTTCCTTTCAAGAAAGCAATAGAAATTGATAGTACAATTATCTTGGCCATCTTATGTGTGTGTATATATATATATGTTTTGTTTTTAGTTTTTTATTTTAAAGATTAAAGAACTGAAACATTAACAGACAGACATAAATAAAACAACATAAAAGCAATAAAAGCAATACAGAATTTCACACAAGGTGATAGAAAATTAACAATGGTATCGTTGCATATCCGTATGTAACAATGGTATTGTATTACATATTGGTATCTTTAAATTTGTTTTCAGATAAACAAATATAGGCCTGTAAGATTGATCGAACAATTAAACATTACCTGTTCCTTTCAGTAACACAATAGAAATTAGTAGTACAAGTATCTTAGCTATCTTGTGTATATATATTTATATTTTTTCCCTTCTTACTTTCTTTTCTCTTTTCCCTCATGCCAGTTGAAGAATCTTTTTAAGACAGAGAATACAAGCACAGTTTAATGAAGTAATTAACTTTCCTTCTACAAAGACTACCCTAATAAAGACCTATTTCTTTATTTACTGTTTCATGGATATAAAAAGTGATTATCTCATTTAGTTCACTAACTTTTAAAATTGGCAAATTTTTTTCAATAATAACACATTGTAAAATCTTATTTACACATTTCAAAGATTATTTATTTTTAAGATCTTTCTTTTTTACTTGAGATCCTCAGTCTAGTCTTCTCTCCATATTTGAAGACATGGCCTATAAATCATAAAGAATTAAAATATCTCCTGTGTATATACACTACCTGAATTTTTATATATTCTTAACAATATATATCTATATACACATAGTTGTTGCATATTATTGCACCCAATAGGAGCATATGTCATAAAGCATCTTGTCTCAAGTAGTACATCCAGTGATAAACCTTGGTGATGTATTTCACAGTCATCTATAGGTTAGTCTCAATCTTTAATAGTGCAGAATATTTTTAATCTAATCTATTTATCCCAACCATTTTTTGTAGATATTTATTTTTAACATTATGATGAGCATCAATGCTACTATAAATATTCTTGCCTATGGGACTTTGCACAAATATGCAAATGCATTGGTAAAAGTTCCAGAAGTGAAAGTATTATATCAAAGTCACGTGACTGTGAACTCCTAGAGGTTGCCCAACTGCCTTCCTAGTAGGCAACACAAATGGATATTCTCACGAACGAGGAGCATCCTTTGTTTGGTACATGCTCTACCCAGTATTGTTGTGGAGGAATTTTCTTACTTTGCTGGAGAGACAGGTTAAAGAAAAGTCACTTGTTTTCCTGTTTTAATTTGCATCACCAGAAATTTAAGGATTTTGAGTATGTTTTTCTAAATTTAGAAAGTAATTTTGTTTATTTTTTTAATAAAATGCCTTTTCTGACCATAGCTCATATGATTTCTAATTGGAATACTGATTTATTTTTCTTATTGATTTATAAAAACTATTTATATATCAAAGAACTCTTCCTCTTTTCTGCCCTATATGTTCCAAATTTTTTTCCCATTTGTTGCAGCTTATAATTTCACAGTGATATTTTTATGGGCTTTAATTTTCAAGTATTAAATCTATCAGTACTTGAAGACTTCTAAATATATAACTTGTTGAGAAAGGCTTTCTCTGCACTGTAATTACAAAATAAATTTTCAAATTTTCTTCTGATATTATAAATTTTATTTTTAAGTAGAGTTAAATTTATACTTTATCTCACATTTGCTTGTGTAAGAAAAAATATGCAATCAGTTTTTATTTTATCCAGATGGTAATCCAGGGTTTTCAACATTATTTATTCAATATCCCATTTTGCCACAGTGATTTGAAGTGCATCTACATCATATATTATTTTTCTTTTGTGTATTTATGTCCTCTTAGAGTCTTCATTCCATCCCTTTTATCTGCTTATTAATGGCTCAATGGTTTTAATTATTCTAACCATAGTAACTGATAGTCACTTCTCGTTTATTAATCTTCTAATTTAAATGCTTATGAATATTTATTTTCTCATCAGCTGGCTTATTTTTTGGCAAAAATCTTATTTAGGGCCAGATAGGATAATTAATTCAGTGGCAGAATGTTTTATCTAACATATGCGAGGCCCTCAGTTTAATTTTCAGCAACAAAAAACAAATCCTGTTTTTTCAAAAGATTTTTTAAATATAAAATTAGGCCTTTATTACTAAGATAAAGCCATTTCATCATGACATTTTATTGTTTTTATACATTTTTAGTCTAATTTGTTAGTATTTTATTGATAGCTTTTGTGGTTTTGGTTATAAGAGGTATTAATTTGTTATTTTTATCCTTTGGTAATGTCTTTGCCAGGTTTTGATACTTGGATTATGCTGCCATCATACAATAAGTTGAGAAATGTTCTTTCCTTTATTTTCTAAAAAAAAAATTATGAACAGTGTAATCTCTTTCCTGAACGTTTAATGAAGCTTTCAAAGGAAATCTGGGCCTGTATGTTACTTCATGGGATAGTTTTTTTGTTTGTTTGTTTTAAATAATGAATTAATTTGCTTTACAACATTTGTTTAATTAATAGGTTTTTTTTGGTTTTACTTTAATATTAGTAAATTATATCTTTCAAGAAGTTTGTTAACTTTATTTAACTTGTTAAAGACATAGCTTATTAATGATATTCCTTATGGCCTCCTAAATGTTGTTAAGATATTTAGTGATGCTGTAATGTTAAGAACTTTGGTAATATTATCTTTGTTTCCTACAAAAGGTGATCTGTGTGTTTTTCTCTCCCTCTCTCTCTCTCTCACCAGTTTTAGCAAGAATGTGTTTTTCATTTTGCTAATTTTCAATAATATTTATCTGAATTTCATTTAGTTGATTTATGCTTTTCTTGTACTTATTTTGGGTTTACTTTTTTTAGCTGTTTAACGTCAAAACCAAGGTTGTTAGTTATAAATATTTCTTATTTCCTAATATGAACATTTAGAGCTATAAATGTCCTTGTGTACAGTGCTTTTGCTGCAGCACACAGATTTGATATTCTATTATCATTCAGAAAGTATTTTCTAATTTTTCTTGATTTCTCTTATCTACAAATACCTTTTAGAATTTGTATTTGCTCCTTGCCCCAAATTTTCTTTCTCTGAATATCTCTATATTGCTCAATTTTCTGCATATAAAATTACTCAATTTTAATTTAGGTGACATATTACCTTTAATTTCAATCCATTTAAAAATATAGGGGCTCACTTTGTGGACTGATCAATGACATACCTTTGTGAATGGACTTTGTGTCCTTGAAGGAATTTTATTTGTAGTTTTCTATACATAAGAACAATTTGATAATGTTGTATTGTTGTCTTTATTGTTCTGGCTGTGTAATGGTTACTGGAAAGGTTCTAAAAATCTGTAACTGTGAAATTCTGTAAGTCTCTCCTTAACTTTAACTTCTCTGTTACCTTTTGCTTGATCTATTTTGACAGCCTACTGTCATTTACATTCACAGTGGTGATCAGTATATTTTTCTGGCAGGTTCAACCTTTGTTCACCATGAAATGCTTCTTTTATCTCTGCTAAAGCTCAACATCTTAATGACTATTTTTACATCTGATATTATTGCAGATTCTCTGCCACCCATATATTTACTGTTTAAATAATATATCTTATTTCTTCCATTTACTCTTTACTTTTCTATGCCTTTGTATTTAAAGTGTGTTTCTTACAGAAATCACATTGGTTAGTTGTGCTTTTGATCTGCTCCAATAACATCTACCTTTAAATTGGAGTGTTTATATTGTTAATATTTTGTAATTTTATTATGATTAGTGTTAAGGCTACAAGGCTTCTTACCATTGGCTTTCTTCTTTACACTTTATTTTTTTCTTTTAATTTTCTTTGGTAGTACAAGGGAATGAACCCTTGTGCACCTAGGCAAGAGCTCTACCACTGAAATGCATCCCCAATCTTTTTTATTTTTTTATTTTGAGACAGATTATTGAGAAATTGCCCAGACAG